GGGGTCACTGCTGCACCCCCAGGTCACTGCTGCACCCCCAGGTTACTGCTGCCAGGGCTCTCCTTCTGCCTCACACGGCAGCTCCTGGTGGTCCCCAGCCCTTCCAGATGGCCGCTTGCCCTGCCCAAAGCCACCAACTCCTCTGCAYCTGCAGGGCCCCCAGTGGGGCTGATCCAAGGCAGCATCTGATAAGTGATGTTCTAGCACTGATAAGGGAAAAGACAGCAAAACACATTGTGCATGTGTTTGTCGTAAAGATCTTTCTTTTATTGCTGCACCACAAGGGCTATTTGTTGTTAACAAATTGGTAGCCTGAGCTGACACAGGGAGGTTTTGGCTATTCTGCTATGACTGAAAAGTAAACAAGCTGTTTCACCTAAATCCTTTAACATCCTAGAAAAGTAAAGACATAAARTATGTTCTAGACTGGTACTTCTGAAAAGAGGAATGCAAACCAAAACAATAAAAAAGATACCTCACAACAAACAAAACCAAGCAGAAAGCATTAAAGAAAAGGCTGCATCAATTGACAGGTAATAAGCCTGATCCAGGTGAATTACAAAGACTCTGCACAAAACAGGGTCAGATTCTCATCTCTGCCAMCCCAGAGGCACTGTCAGCAGTGCATCACCTGCAGCCTGTAGCCAGCCTGTGTACTGCAGGGGTGTGTCATRCAGCATCTCTCACTGAATATCACAGCACACACATCATATCACTAATGGGCCATGGGAATGCTAAAACAGTGGGAGGTGCAAAAAATAGCGGGAAAATAGGTCAATCACTTTTTTTCTTCTGCTTTCAAAATTATCTTTGAATATTTTGGTGATGGGAACACAGACTCACAGCTTCTTTAAATGGAGTGTGAGAGGAACTGAAAAAATAAAATATGATGTCTCAAGAGCAAGGGTAGCTGTTACTTTAAATTTACTATTTTGAGAAATGTTATTGCTATAGCAACTGCTAAAGGTTCAATACAGGGATAAAAGATTCTTTTCCTTTGTTTTATTTTCCTAATAAAGTCAAGATCTGCATGTAAAAAAGAGGTGGTGGGAGATTGGGTAAAAGCACATCCAGATATTGTACTAGTGTCCAATCACATATAAATAACCTTTATGGGGTTGCCGGTGGATGAGAGGCTGGACATGACCCAGCAATGTGTGCAAGCTAAATTTGTCCTATATTCCATACCAGCTGCAGCTTTATTTTGATTTCTTGTAGAATCTTGGCCTTACTTGTCACTTCTCCCTGTTTAAAAAAKCTTCCTTCCTTTTAACAACAGGAGAAGAAAGTAATGGCTGTTTTTCTGACCCCACATGAAGAACTACACCCAGGAACAATCTTGTTTCAAATTTTTAGCATTTTAGCACAGAGGTTTTTGCATCTCARTCCTAGTCATATCTCAGGCATATATTTTTTTATTGGAAAAATGGTCACCTCWGTTTCCTTGATCTGATAGCAGGTAACTTACCAGAGTCTGAAGGAGAGATCCATACACTGTGTTCTGTTTCACATGCTTAATTACATGTGTGAGGAAACACTGTKATGAAAATGCTGTTGATCCTGTAAATCACGAATTCCTTAGGCTCATATCCTTAGGTGAAATGAGCTGGTGAGACTGAGGTGACTATCCCAATTTGAGGCACCAGATCTCCCATGTCTAAATAAATGGTCTGGTTTATGGCAATTCATCTTCTTAGTTATCATTTCACCACAGGAAACCCAAGTACTCTCAAAAAAAAAAAAAAAAAAAAAAAAAAAAAAAAGGAAGGTAAAGAGCACTAACTCTTAGAGCACAAAAGGAACTCTTAACTCTAAATATCTGTGAAGCAGTTCCTGAGACTCATTGTAATCTCAGAATGAGAGCATAAACACATGGCTTCACTAGCTTCTTTGCTTATCCTCATGCAGTGCAACCCAATAAATGATCCACAATAAAACAAAGTTGCTGCACCTTCTCAGAATGTATTGCAGAGAAACCACCT